AGCAAACTCTTCAGCATCTATGGTAGAGTGCCCTCAGCCTCCTGACAACCGGGCAAAGGGGTCTCACCCCTTGCTCGTGATCTGCGTAGAGCTGGGGGATGCAGGGCTGCAGCCCCTCCTCTCTCACTGCTGGGTCTCTGACCGTGCCCCTCTCCTTCCTCTCTGCAGCTCCACAGTGCATCTCCTTTGTGTGGCTGATGCTGGCCGGCCTGTGCAGTGTGGTGGGCCATGTGAGGAGCGGCCAGACCCTGCGCATTGCTTGTGCTGGTGAGTGCTGGCCCCAGGGCAGGGAGGCTTGGGACAGCCCTTGCACCTTGCCCTGCTGCAGACTCTCACAGGCTCCCTTTTCTTTCTCTCTCTCTCTCCTTTTTTTTTTTTTTTAATTGATTATTCATTTTTTTGTTTTGTTTTGTTTTCAGTTGTGAAACAATGGTTGGAAGGAGTCAAGGTTCACTTGCACTCCAGAAAGCAATGCCCTTGGCCTGCCGCAGAGAAAGAGCAGATCTATCAGAATCTTTACCAGCTCTTCTGCTCTGTGCTGAGCAACTGGCAGGACTGCAAGGAGGAAGAGGTGAGCACTGCTGCATTCCCAGCCTGGGATGGTGATGGGGACATCAATGTCGGCAGCTCTGTCCGTGCCCAGCAGGCTGAGAGCAGAGGGGTGATGAGAGGGAGAGGGCTGGCTCTGCAAAGTGCTCTGAACTGGATTTGTTCTCAGGGCTGGATCTCTCTACCAGGGAACAGCCGCGTGCCACAGCACTGTGGCAGGGAGAGCCGGGGATGAGGGTGTGGGGAAAACCTGCCTGCCCAGGGAGAGCAAGCCCATCTCCTGCTGGGCACGGGGGAATGGGGAAGGGAAAGGGAAAGAGAAAGGCCTCTCTGTAGGAAGGGCAAACCTTCAGTCTTTGATGCTGGGCCTCTGCCATCCCTCTCCAGGACAAACGGGCTGTCCTTGGGGCTGTGACTGCCATGTTGACCGTCCTCCTGCAAGAGGAGCAGCAGCAAAAGCACGTCTGGGAGCAGGTCCTCTGGCTCGTGCACCAGTATCAGGAGGCCCAAGACACCTGCGCGGTGACCAAGGTGAGATGTTGTGCAGGGATCAGTGTGGAGCCCATGCAAGTGCCACGAGGGGTCAACGGGATGCAGGGAGAAGGCTGGGAGCCCTTGGAGGAAGAAGGAATAAATGTCCAAGGGAGGTCTGAGGCTTCCTGAGTTCTTCAGTGAAGGAAGGAATAACCCAGACAGGAGCCATAAGGAAGCCAGGAGTCACTAGGGCCCATCCTGGGAATGGAAGGCTTTACCATCACCACCACCATGGGACTCTGTGTGCCTGAGGAGCTGTGTGCTGACAGCCAGGGGACCACATCCAGTTGTATCTGATGGGGAAGAAGAGGGCTGCTGGGTGGGAAATGCCTGCAAACGATGCCCAAACAGGGCTCGGTTGAGAGCAGAGAGACTTTCTTCATGCTGCCGGGAGGAGGGGACAAAACAGAATACCTGTGCGGGAGCTTCTCCCAACAGAAAAACCACTGGGAATCAGTTTCTCCTCTCCCAAGTGGCTAGATGTGGCTTCAGCACTTTCTTCCTCTCCCGGTCTCTTGCAGAGCCTCAATATCTTCCTGGAGGCCTTAGCGGGAGTTCAGTCCATCATCCCAGAGGACAAGTTTCTGGCCATCACCAGTGCCGTGTTCTACCAGGTAAGGGGAGCCTACCCTTGCGCCCACAGCAGTTTCCCTCTTGACTAAGTCTCAGGAGGACTGTGGAGCTCCGAGCCTATGACGGCTGCTCAGCCTTAGCTCCTGCATGCCTGTGGCTGCTGCAGAGCCATGCATGTGCCCCCGGAGCAGGATGCGTTTTGTCTGCATCTCCTCTTCCCAAGAGTGCCAAGGGAGACGAGAGCTGGTAGCTCAGTTTCTTTCCCATACTCAGTGCTGATGCAATTTTCTCAAATGGACCTTGTTCCCACAGCTCTCTGACGACACCAAACAGCACAGCGAGGCTGACAGAGCAGAGCTGACCCACTGCATCCTGCTGCAGGGTAAGCAGAGGAGATATGACGATGCTTGGCAGTGCCCTGTCCAAAACCTCTCTCGCAAGCCTCAGGAATGCGCGCGAGTTTCTGGATAACAGTGTGGCATTTCCTCCCTGCAGCACGAATCTGCCCAGAGGAAACGGTCCTGTTTCTGCAGTTGCAGCTGGGCAGTCAGAGGAAGGCCAGTTGTGTGGCAGCCCTGGGTCTGTTTGGCGCTCTGGCTCGCTCTGATGGTCAGTACCGCGGGTTGGACTTCCAGGGATCCCTTTTGTCATATGGGTTGTGCCTCCATGCATGCTTCTGTGCATCTCTTGTAGAGCCTGTCATGACAGAGAAGCTGTCCCAGGTTGTGGAGGCTGCGCAGTGTCTGTGCAGTGACCCCAGTACCCAGGTGAGCTGACGTGGGAAAGGAAAGCACTGCTGGGGTGGAGATGCTGATGCCAAAAAGGGCGGGGCTTGGGTGATCAGGGAGGTGCTGGAGCATGGACAACGTGGTTGCGATGGCTCCTGTGGTTAGAGAGCAGGCAGTGTGGAGTGGTCAGGTCCCTGTGCTGTGCATGGAAAGCACACAGCCTGATGCTAAGGCCTGGCCTCCACCTCAGGAGCCAAGGCTTCTCCTCTGCTCTGTTGTCTCTGCTCATGCCCAAAGGGCAGCCCCAATGAGCAGGTGGCTTCCCTTGGCCTTCTGAGCAGGAAAATCACACCCACAATTGACTCCTGGCAGGTGAGGAGGGCCGTGCTGCACTTCATCAGGGATGTGCTCAGCGCTAACGCCTGGAGCTGCTCAGCCTGGGATGTGGTGGGGCACATCTTCAGTGAGTTCAGCCGCACCACAGGAAGAAGGGTAAGGACAGTGGGCAGCATCTTCCTTTGGAAGACAGACCCGTGCTGCTCAGAGGCTGGCACAGAAGCACTGAGCCTCATGAGAGGCCCCTGAGAACTGAGAGTAATCGGCATTTCAACACCACTGTTGTGCAGGCAGCCGGAGACCTTTCTGCCCAGGAAGCCCAGGAAGAAGGAGCACTCCAAGCGTTGTGCATGGACATCCTGGGGTCACTGGATGTCTCCACGAGAGGGATGACCAAAGTAAGTCACACTCTGCCCTGCTGCCACTCCGTGCCTTCGCACCACGTGCTCCTTGTCCTCTTCCAACACCCCACGCCTCTCCTCCAACGTGCTCTGACGCACACAAGACTCAGGGAAACTCACGGAATCCTCTTCATCTCTGAGCGGAGGCAGGAATGCTGACATGCTCAACTGCCTCGTTCCCTACAGCTCCTGTGGCCAAGGCTGCTGCTGTACGTGGTGCCAGCCCAGTACACCGGCATGCTGATCCCAGCCTCCCGCTGCATCCGAGCCCTGGCTGAGAGAGGGGACCTGACGGTGCGGGACATGGAAGAACTGGATCCCCACTTCCTCAGCTCCATGTTTCAAGGTAGGAGCAGAAACTCCCCCTGTGAGCTCTGTTGACCCACGTTGGCACCCAGAAGGGACAGCAGAGGTGTGTACGGCAGGGCATGGCGTGTCTGCATCTCACTCAGCACTTCTTTCTCCCTGCAGGCCCACTGCTGACTCCCCAGATACTGCTGGCACGTCTGCTGGTGAGTACATGCTCCAGAGGCCAGTGCCACGATCCGCAAGGAGGAAGCAGCAAGGGCGAGCGTGCCAGCGCCCGCCTCAGCCCTGGGGATGCTGTTCTCTACCCAGGCTTGCAGCACCAGGGGCAAAGCTGCTGGCTGCTCCTTGCCCTCCAGGGAGAGCCAGGCTGCTTCCCTCCTGGAGGAAGCCACTTCCCTTGCTGCACAAGTGACCCAGTTTCTCCTCGCTCTTGCTCAGGTGGTGGCAGGGAGCCCTGTTGCAGGCAGCGAACTCCAAGCCGCTGCCTTGCTTCTCATGCAAAACCTCCACAGCAAGATCCACAGAGCTGTGGAGCCTGTGTGGGCTGCTGAGATCCCTCTGCTGCTGCAGTGCCTCGAAGGTAAAGTGCTGGTGGGGAGGGAGGGACGGAGGCATGGAAGGAGGGGAGTGAAAATGCAGCTCTGCAGCGTGGCAGAGGGGAAGTGTTGTCTGTGCCCCAGCGCTTGCTCTGCTGCTGTTCCCATTCGAGGGAGACAGCACTGATGTTGGCAGACCTTTCCCCCCGGGGATCTGCCCATTCCAGGGCACGGGTGGGCTCTTCAAGTCCCCTGAGACAGCCCTCTTGGAGCCATCAGTTCTGTGCTCCTGTTGGGACAGTGTCTGTGGGGAGGGACAGGTCATTGTGGAGGGGGTGCAGGTCCCGGCTTGGCAGTGCCGTGTGCCCAGGCCAAGCCGGGTTTGCAGCAGCTCTTTTTCTGTGGCTTGATCCCAAGCAAAGGTTTTTTGCTTCTTGTTGCTGTGCAGGGAAAGATGAGAGCTTCACAGACTCTGCAGAGTGGGAGCCCCGTCTGCTAAAGGTACAGCATTGCAGGAAGGCATGGTGCAGAGAAGTGCTTGCCTGCCTCGAGGAGACCCGCTCCCATACAAGCCACCAGGAGCAGCCTCTCAAAAGCTGCTGTGGTGTGGCTGCACGTCTTTGTGGCGCTGCCTCTTCCTCTTTGTCCCAAGCCCTAGGGGGGTCCTAGGAAAAGAGTGGCAGGCGGCTTTAATGGAGGGAATGCTGGGGGGAGCTGATCCCCAGAAGGCTGCAGCGACTTGGGAATTTGGGAAGAGGTAAAGGGAGAGGGATCATTGGCTTTTCCTGTTCTCCAACAGTTTGTGAGGGCATCACTGGACATCATGGAGGACGAGGCCTGGACCATGGCCCTGAGCTGCGAGCTGAGCCGGCAGCTGAGCAGCTCTGCCAGCAGCTCTGGAGAAAAGGTAGGTCTCCCCCGGCTCTCCCCAGCGGTGCAGCTGCAGGTGCCCAACTGGGGCTGGGGCTGAGGCTGGTGCTCTGCCCACACGGGCTGCTCACGCTGCTTCCCCAGCCCGTGCCCCCCAGCGGGCCTTTGCCTGCAAACTGCTTGGGGGCTGGCTACAGCTCGGCCCTGCAGCTGCTCTCAGCGACTCCCAGGGAGCGTGGGTCCTTCCCCCCGGCCCTCTGCCAGCAGGTCAGGCTGCTGCCACATCCCAGGTTATTCCTACCCTTCCCACGCAGACCTTCCTGTACAAGGCTCTGGGGACCGTTCTGGGAGCTTGTAAGGAAGTCCTCCATGT